TGGTCCCACGCAAAACCCACCCTAACAGAAAAAATCGAATATGCTGACCCAGAAAAAAGGAGGTTCCGTGACCGATCTCGTTGCCGGCGGTGTGGCCGGTTTGTTTGAGGCCTTGTGCTGCCACCCCTTGGACACCGTCAAGGTCAGAATGCAGTTGTACAGAAAGTCGGGCCAGAAACCACCAGGTTTCATCAGAACCGGTATCAACATTGTCCAGAAGGAGACCTTCATGTCTCTCTACAAAGGTCTTGGTGCCGTTGTGCTCGGAATCGTGCCCAAGATGGGTATTCGTTTCCAGTCGTACGAGTTCTACAGATCGCTTTTGAAGGACAAGGACGGCAAGATCTCCACCGGTAGCACTTTCCTCGCTGGTGTCGGTGCCGGTACCACCGAAGCCGTGATTATCGTGAACCCTATGGAGGTTGTCAAGATCAGATTACAAGCCCAGCACCACTCCATGGCCGACCCATTGGATGTTCCAAAGTACAGAAACGCTCTCCACGCTGCCTACGTCATTGTCCGTGAAGAAGGTTTCTCCACGTTGTACAGAGGTGTTTCCTTGACTGCTGCTAGACAGGCGTCCAACCAGGGTGTGAACTTCACTGTGTACTCCAAGGTGAAGGAGTACTTGCAGAGCTACCAGAACTTGGAGGTTCTTCCCTCGTGGCAGACCTCCTTGGTTGGTTTGTTCTCTGGTGCCTTGGGTCCTCTTTCCAACGCTCCTTTGGACACCATCAAGACCAGATTGCAAAAGTCCACTTATGCCTCCAACGAGTCTGGCTGGGTCAGAATCGCCAAGATCGGTAAGCAGTTGATCAAGGAGGAGGGTGTCAATGCCTTGTACAAGGGTATCACGCCTAGAATCATGAGAGTGGCACCTGGCCAGGCTGTGACCTTCACGGTGTACGAGTTCATGAAGGGTGTGTTGTCTGGCAACGCTTTGCCCGGCAGCAACAAGAAGCTCGAGTAGGTTCTGCGTTAGAAGCTACGCCAGGTATTTATCGCACGTGCCGTGCCGCTTGCATACATAAAAAGTTGATAAACGATAGAGTAGTTGGTTGTAGGTGATGTTTGGTCCGTTGGTCCGAGGGAGGATGAAAAATTTTTGTTTTGGCATCGTAAGGTGAACAATCCACGTCACCGACGTCACTGACGTCATTGGAAGGAAAAGAGATAGATTTTTGGATTTTAGAGTGTCAGGTTGAATCGGCCCGGGTACTCGAGGTCAATGTACTGCAGGTAGGCTACCGACACCCCGGAGAACCTTCCCGAATCTAAGTCACCAAATGCAACATTTAATTCAAATTCCGTGATATCCATGCTCAATTGGGGCTAACTAACACCCTCTACGGCCACTTTCGGCTATTTAGCCTACGGATCCGGAACTCCCACTAGGGTGACCTGATCCCCCATACAGGTCGCCTCAGGCAGTTGCCGCCTACTCCATCACCACATTCTTCCTATTCCCCAAATCAGCCAATGTTCGGTCGTGTGCTGCCTATTTTCCGCCGTGTGCCTCTAAATAGCCTAGTGGCGGCGCCCCGCTTCTCCAGGTCCATCAAAACCTCGTCTCTGGCTCTCGTCAGGTACCAAGGCAAGACCAGGAAGGTTAACGAAATCAGCCCAGAGGAGGTCAGACGCTACCAGGAGAAGTACGCACAGAATAGCGGCTCCCAAAACGGCAATTCCCAATTCTATTATCAAGAAAACCCCTCGCTGGATCCGCTGGCGTTTCAGAATGATCCATCTCAGTTCAGAACGGTTTTTGAAGTGCCACCAAATGAAAACGGCATCATCACAGAGCACGATGGAATCTACGATATCCTTAAAGAACCTACTTTGGTCATTGAGCGTCAGGTGGAATTCATGAATGTCGTCATTGGCTTTGAACAGGCAAACAGGTATAAGATCATGAACTCCAATGGAGACCAGATTGCGTACATGGAAGAGAAGGATTTCGGCATCATGAAGGCAATTGGACGTCAATTTTTCCGTTTGCATCGTCCCTTCGAGCTTGAGGTCTTCAACAACTACGGCGACTTGCTCCTCACCATCAAGAGACCGTTTTCTTTCATCAATTCGCATATCAAGGCGCTTTTACCTGGATACGACGAAAGGGGAAACATCATGCACGAGATTGTTGGCGAGTCCGTTCAGAAATGGCACTTGTGGCGCAGACGGTACGACTTGTTCAAGCTCGAAGATGAGGTAACTGATGAATATGAGCAGTACGGAGCAATTGATTCTGGTTTCCTTGCCTTCGATTTCCCGGTTTACAACAATAACGGCGACGTCATTGCGTCCGTGGATAGAAATTGGGTCGGTTTGGGCAGAGAGCTTTTCACAGATACCGGTGTCTACATTGTGAGAATGGACCCTGCTGCATTTGCCGGAATGGGGCTGATGTACCCTAGCGTTGCTGGTCCATTGACACTAGATCAACGTGCGGTGTTGTTGGGCAATGCTGTGAGTATTGACTTTGACTATTTCTCGAGACACTCCAGAAGTGGCGGAGGCTTTTTCCATTTTGGCGACTGGGAGTAGAAGCTGCGTCATGAACGTCGATTGGCTCCAGATACAGACAAGCGTTCAATTGTATAGTAATCAAGGCATGCGAGGGAGACATGTATTTTTGAGATCATTTGCAGTGGTTGGATCTCCAGTACCAAGCGTTAGGTTGTGGTATATTGGAGTGATGCAATGTGATGATATCTTACACCAAACACGCCCCTCGATTTGGTCCCTTTGCGCCATGCGCACCTTCTGTCAAACCTATCACCTCACTTGTAGAACCTCTGTGATTGACGTGCTAGAGATTTCTTTCTCGCCAGCTCTAAGAGCTCCTCCCACTCATCATCACTCATACCCTGCAGAATATTCTTCAAAAGGGCCACTGTCAACTTGGGGAAATCGTGTCTCCTGAAGACATTCTCCTGCTTCCACGTCTCACGCTTACGAAGCTCTTGCTGCACGCTGAACTCGTCGTCCAAGAGCTTGTACTGCTCCAACTTGTTATTCGTAATGGCCATCAAGGAAAAACGGATTTCGCCCAGGTACTTGTCAATACGCCTTTGCAACACGCGGGGAAGCACGTCGTAGAAGTGGTCTGGCGCATCCAAGGTCTCGTGCTTGATGGGGTACTGTTTCAAACCGTCCAACTCGTATACGGTGTTGTTGATGTTGAGGTACGTGATAAAGTGGAAAAGGCCGTCGTCCTTGTCGTCAAGATCAGGCGGTGGGAGCTGGTCGCTATCAATGAACTTAGGTGCTGAAAAGGAGTTATGCACAGACCTCAAGGTCTCAGAGTTGGATAGCGTTTCTCCAGCCATTTCTGGATCAAAGCCAGCAACAAACGCACGTAGGTTATTGAGCTCTACGCCGATATCGATATCATCCAATTTGTTGAGCAAGGAATTGAGCACGGCCTGTGTGGCACAAGCATTCTGGATGGTCTGGTTGGCGAAAAAGATACCCTTATCTGCGTATTCCGTGTCGTATTCTCCATCAAGAGGCAATTTCTTAGCGGCATACTCACGGTCGAGTTTGCTGTATTTGAATAAGAAAACCACGGCATACACAGGCGCAGCAGCCAAGAGGGATTCCTTATCTATAGCGTAGAGTTCATCAAACTGGACATTCTGAACGCCCAAACGCTCCACGAGTTCCGTGAAAACGCCCTGCTCTTGTTAGTATACGGTGGAAGGTCACGTGAGCCTCGTCAGTCACATACCGCGTCAGAATCTATGGTATTCCAGCCCCAGGACATGATAAAGAAGGTGTAGTTGCGAACTGTTGATAGTAGTGTACCTGGGGTTAAAAGGGTGTCCATGGTGGACATGATGCCACGGTGGGAATCCCGTAAAGCTCGGCGATTCCCCTAATTCACACATGAATATCCTGAATATTAAGTTCCCAAAATCATTTAGTCCCGGATCATGGCTTTTCATCGGGTATAGCAGGTGCCACACCCGTGCACCACGGGTTTATCTGTCTCCAACACGCTACTTACACCTCAACCACAATGGACGTGCAAAAGACCCTAGACAATATCGTCAGTTTCACAACCCTCGATGCTCTTTTCAAGAGCGGATCTCTGGAGATCTTTCCCTCTGCTCTTCAGCAGCAGCAGACCGTTATCACCGTGGTTCTCGTGCTTCTAGGTATGTATCTTGAGTTTCAGAGAAAGGCGTCAAAGGGGCCTTAAAATCGACAAAGTGCTTGTCAGGTTTTGTCGGCTTCACTTGAAATTGGTTTTGGAAGAAGATTATGTGGTTTTTGTACGCAATCTTCGTGGTTTGCTTGGATTCTGTGACTTTTCAGATAAGACACGTCTAGCCTACACGACGTGGATCTCGAGAACGAGACGTCTAATGGTCCAAATACTCCGGAATTGCGATCATCAGCTCCTTAGTTAACTAGGGAATCGCTTTTATGCCCCGTTGACCTGACCACCACACATTTACTAACAACCAGCATTCGTGTCTCTCGCCTTGGCCTTCCTTAACAGAAGCTCGCCCGCCAAGTACTTCAGCAGCGCTGCCGTTGCGTCTGTTTCCATCGGCTTGGGCTCCATCTATGTTGCCAACTTTTTCGGCGTGTATATCTAGTTGCATAATGAATGCTCTGTGAGTGAACCGTGTAGGATATCGAATAGAGAGGGAAGAGGGAGGTGGTTGGGTATCTAGATTCAGAAGTTTGTCTGTCGGATCTTCAATTGGCATTTTGTTCAATTGGTGAATTGGATTCGCTGGCGTTGTCCATCAACTAACTATGGCAGCTTCATGATCCTGGTCGAATCACCCCTGGAGCTTCATTCTCCTCCCAGTTTCCTATTTCAAAAAAAGTTCCATTTTAAATAGGGCAAACCAGTTTGGATGACCCCAGTAAAACCTTCCATATCCATATCTCATCCACCACCTCGATATGGAAACTCCACCTCAATCCTCCACTTGTACCTATAAAGTCCAACGCTTCCCCCAATTCTCTCGTCATCCACCACCATGTCCGACTGCCACATTGAAAGTTTTGTAGTGCTTGAAGAATTCAAAAAAGACGCTTTTGATGCGCTGAAGGTTGCAAGTTCTGTTCACGACACAATCGAGCATTTTGCAGCCAGCTATGTGGGACACTCCACCCAGACTTTTGAAACCAACCACACCATTTGTGCCATCACCGAAGCCAGGTTCCGTTTTGCAGGACCTATTGCTGAAGCACAAAAAATCAACGCTTCTTTGTATGAAGAAACGGCTCGAATCAAGCCTTCTCAGGAAAGACCCATGAAGATCGAGTATGTGGTTCGTGGAGATTCCAGAAAATTCAAGTCCTTGCGTGGATACTGTGAGTTTAATTGCAACGGAAGACAGTTTGACTACAAGAGGGAGCTTTTTCCAATGACAAGGGCACTTTACGGAGAGAAGAGTAAGCCAAATCAGGCAAGCATCACCGGTCCAGATGGAGCAGTCATCAAACTCAATTCTGTGTACTTCCGGCCCAATTATGGATTTCACGAATGCAGCAGAATTGTCGTTCCCAAAACAAGAATCAGCACTCTTCTAGATGTCTGTGTGGAAAGCACCGATAAGGCAAACCTCGTCATGACAAACGTCACAGTGGAGCTCCACAGGCTCACTTATACAAAAGTTGAAAAGCAAAACACAATTTTCTTTCCGCTGAAACCCGTCTCAAAGCACAGTTATGTGACCATTTCCAGCAAAGACTGTCACAAGAAATTGGACGCTTTTGAAGATTCAGAAAACGACTGTGTTCAGGTTCCTCCCAAGTACTTGAACAGCGGCTTGCCCATTGTAGAGCCCACGCTTTACTGCAACGACTCCATGAGAAGTTATGGCATCAAGGTGAAGGTGACGCTTTTGCATCTCCAGCATTCTTGGTCACAGACTTTGGAGAATTTCGTTGAAGTCCAGGTCGCCTCGCTTTGCTTTGATAAACCCAGAATTCAGCATATCCCGTTTTTAGGCCAAAGACAGAAAACCGAGCGGATCAGGTCCATCGAGGTTTTCGACAGATTCAGGTATAGTCCCGGTCTTGTCACTGTGGGGCTTGTCAATAAGGCCAAAAGAAAGGGTCTTCTTTACCACCAGCACAAGTGTGAAACCATCACGGACGATGCCTCTGTGACTGTGTTTTCGACTGTTCTGGCAAAGGTTCCTAGAATGAGTGAAGCTGAGCAGAAGGAGAGGGATTCCAGGGTAAGGTTGGAGAATCTTGCTTTTGCGGGAAGTCCCAAGAGAGCGAAGTTGTAGGGTGGGAAAGCATAAGGTTATAGGTAAATAGAAATAGGAAAGTGGAGTTGTGAGTAGCTAATTGCTGGAAGCTTTGGGCATTACATCATTGCCAGGATAGTCCTTTCATTTGGCTAGGTACCTTAGAGTATCAAAACCATCCAGAGTTGCGGATGCCACTTTAAAGACAATATTGTGAAAGGCCGTCTCGAAGTATGATCGTCATGAAACGTGTTGTTTCATGTTGGTGGTAACGCAATACTGAGAGCTTCTCTTGAATCAAGAAGTGCTTTGCTGGAAGTCACAGTATCGATATAATCGTGAAAGGCAGCATTTATCACTGTTCTGGTGGTTACGTTGTATTTTGATAATGAGGCACAGAAGCAATACAGCAGAAATGAAAAGGGCCTTAACAGATAAAGTGAATAGAAAAAAAAATAAAAAAAGGGACCAAAGAGTCTTATAAGCTTAACTGTGGTACTATCAGCAATGTGATAAACACGATACTTCTTTGGAGCAAATACAATAGAATGGGGAGAACACACTATTTCGTTTATTGGACTGTTTTGGAATAAGAGCTTAAAGTATTAGAAAAACACATTCTTTTCCTCGAAATTCATGAGCTGTCGTGTGCCCTTAGATGGGTGTACCCGTTTTGCAGCCATTTCTTAGAAACAAGCAACCAAAAGCCACAGCCTCAAAGTGACCCTAAGGTTTACTCATTAAACAATAAAAAGCCACCAATGAGGAGAAGCAAGCAATAAAAGTTCACATAGAAAGAATAACACATTACCATAACACCCATTCGCTCTATACCTCTACCTCACACAACCCCCCAGACAATTCCACCAACACACCCTTTTTGAACCAAAAAAAACAATACACCCCCCAATACACCCTTCCATCTTTCACATCACCACCCCTTCCCTCCAATTTATCTCCCTCACATAATTCACATCATACCTCCACCTCACCATACCCCCACCTACACCATCTACACTTTCGCGACTTCCACCACCATGCTCAGTGTTCTTCGTCTCTGGATCCTAACAACCCTCCTCCTCGTGGTCGCCTCACGTGAGCTGGGCGACGTCTACGCCAACGACCCCAATGTCTACGAACTCACGCCGCTGAACTTCGACAAAGTCGTCCACCGCTCCAACTACACCTCCATCGTGAAATTCTACGCTCCATGGTGTGGTTACTGCAAACAGTTGCTGCCTGTGTGGCACAAGTTGGGCAAGTTTCTTCATAAAGAAGGGAAGTACGGTGTCCACGTGGCAGCGGTCAACTGTGACAAGGAGTCCAACAAGCCCTTGTGTGCTGCTTATAGGGTTCAAGGGTTCCCTACGTTGATGCTGTTCAGACCGCCCAAGTACGCTCCGGGCAAGGCCAGGGCAAACCTGAAACACGTGCCTGAACCGTACAACGGCCAGCGGTCGCTCAAGGCCATCACGGATTATGTTTCTACGAGAATCAAGAACTACGTGGATCGGATCCACGGGTTGAAGGGGCTTCCGGAGTTTCTCGAGGGCCCGGGGCCACGCGTGGTGCTTCTTCTGAAGAATACGAATATTTCGCCCGTCTACAAGACGATGGCCATTGACTTCTTGTCGAAAGTGTCGTTTGGGTACTTGAAGACGGATGTCGCCGAACCGGCCTCTGTGACGGTGGATGGCAAAAAAGTGCAGTTGCCGATCGAGGAGGGCGACACGCTTCCGATTTTGCTTTTTTGGGATTCTGAAAAGGGCGAGTTTTCCCGGTATCTGAAGGGTAAGCTCACCAACAAGCATGAGATGGAGGCCTGGGTTCAGGAGCAGACGGGCGTCAAGCCGTCGGAGGGCGGTCTTTCGAAGAAGGACAAGAAGTACTACGCCAAGTATAGAGGCGAGCGTGTCCACGACGAGCTTTAGGGGGGTAATTTGAGGTGAGGATTTTTGGTGATTTTGGAGAAGTTTTCAGTGGAGTTCTTTTACTGGGATTTCGTTGTCTTTTGGAGATAGAATTGGATATAATTTCCCACTTGAAGAGTTAAATGGGGTTTGTCAGTTGAGAATGAAAGCTTTCAATACCTACCCTTCCTTCCCTTCCTTCCCTTAGATACTCAATAAAATGTGACTAGTGCTGGAAGGTAAATTCTGATTTCTTAAGCGAACGACTTCTTTTTCAATTTAGAGCCTACCCCGGATTCAAAGCCTACTTCTGCACTCCGCCAAATTGAAAGCTCAATTGTATAAATATCTATAGACTGGCGATCGCCTTCTACTCCTGATTTCCATGACTTCTAAGTAAACCAAAGTCAATTGAAGCCGCAAAATCAAAACTCTCCCTTCTATCTCCCTCCTTAAAACCCCAGAGACCTCACACACCCACCTTGTCCATCATCGCAAGAATGTCATCCACATCGTCCTTCTTCTCCTCCTTCTTGGCCTCCTCCTTCTCGGCACCCTGGATCCAGTTGACAACCTGGTCCACAAGCAACTTGGAATTGGGCACAAAATGACCACCAGGATGCTTCAACAAGTCCAGGTTCTTCGTGCTGGTCTCATAGAATGTGTATGCTCTATCCTCTCCAACCACCGTATCTAATTCTCCCACAACATGCAAAAGACGGGGTTTCGTCAGAGCACCATCGTCGTTCGTGTAGTACTTTTTGAAATCTGGCATAAGCGAAACGTCAATCTTGAATCCAGAGTAAAGCACCGCAAACTCAAGGTCGATGCCGAAAAGCTCGTGGAACTTGTGCACCAACGCTCCAGCAAAACACGCTCCTTGTGAAAATCCTATAATACCATTGAGAGGAAGATTATCCTCCTCCTTCTCGTAGACTCCCTCCTCATTGAGCACTTCACCGTCCTTGATGTACCTCTTCACGGTATCAATAGCAGAGTCGATTTCATATGTGTTATCGGGATTCTTGACCCACCAGGCACGGTACTTCAAGGCATCGTCATCTCCACCTACTGCGCCAAACTTGGAAAGCAGATCGGTGGTTGGAAGTTCAGCTGGTGAAAGTTGGATGGGTGCATTGAGATAGACTGCTTTGAGCTTGTACTGAGCTAGCTTTTTTCTCAAAGCCAGTGTCTTGGCATAAAACGCCAGCGCCAGCTGTGTGTAGCCATGGAGAAAGAGCACCTTGGCTGTATACTCTATGTTCTTTTTCGCCATATGGGTGGAATCTAGTTTATATCTATATGCGCGCCCACCTAGTAGTATTCGGACTTCACCGCTAGGTTTTTTCATTTTTTCCTTCACCGTCATATCTTGCAGCAGCTGCCTAGGCGTACTTCAGAAGCTCGAGAATGTCACGAAGAACGACGATCCTTCTGTCTCCCTCGTAGTACGTCAGGTAGTCCTCTTTCTGCTTCAACTGCTCGTATTCCTTCTCCACTTCAACGTAGTGGTACACGCTACCAAAGCCAAGGTCAAAGGCCGCCTTGACGTTGATCTCGCTGTCATCCACAAACGAAAGCTGCCACAAGGCGGCTGGGTCCTTGGCGTCCACCTGCACGGTGTCTAGGCATCTAAAGAAGAACTCGTCCATCGGCTTGCAAATGATGGGGATCTCGGAGTAGTCGCAGAAGGTCAAGCCGTCGAAAAGATCACCCAAGCCCAAGAACGAAATCACACGCAAGGCGTGGTTCTTGTAGGCGTTGGTGATGAGCCACAATACGTCGTAGTGGTGAGATTCCTTGATCTTGATGATCATGTTGCGCAACTCGTCGTTGTAGCCCAAGACGGACTTCAAGTCAAGCGAATCGTCCACTTGCGAGTTGTACTCCAACGCGTCCACCTGGTGGTTTCTGACTAATCCCTCGAGCGCCAATCCATACGTCTTGTAGTAGTTCATGTGCAACTCGTGGGCTTCTTCGTCGTTCAACTGCAAGTTTTGCTTGAAGTAGTTGTGGATTTTAACCTGCATCATGTCGTGGATCTTGGTGGAACGCTTGTAGAGACAGTTGTCGATGTCAAAGAAGAAGATCTTCTTGTTCTTCAATTCCTCAGGCAATGGGCCGTGGCCATATGGCAATGTCACGGTGGTTCCTGGCTTCTGGCTATCGATTTCCGGGTTCTCGTAAACAAGTGGTTTCTCTGTGGAGGTCGTCATGTTGGATAAAGAGTGTAGGTGACTCTTATCGGTATATATGCTGTGATAGCCGAGACAGCCACACCAGTACACCACGTGGACCCTCCGGGGCCGTTTTCTTGGATGGTTGCTAATTAGGGTCCTCGTAGAAAATGTCTTTTTGGATAAGCAGAATGTTTTTGTTGAGTACTGTGCTGAAGTGGTCGAGGGTGTGGTAGGCCTCGCTCAATGCCGCTGAAACATCCGTTTTGTATGGTATGTCGTTGCTGAGGAAGAGCCAGTGACTCATATCCTGCTGAAGACGGTCTTTGAGCGTTTGAAGCTGGATGTGGAGGTTCAAAAATGGCTTTTTGTTGGTATCGGAGTAGAGAAGCTCCGTGAGAAGCTTGGTGCAAATTCTGGTCTTGTAGACATAGCTGTAGATGGGGTTTGCCTGAGCTGCATGGTCGGAGGAGGACAGGTTCGGTAGGGAGTCGTTGAGGACCTGACTGATCTCGTCAATGGTGATCTTGTCGTTTGAGGTTTTTGTGGGTAGCGTTTGTGAATCTTGGAGGAAGCCTCGAAGAAGCAGATACAAAGCGATTGTCTCGCCGTCCTCGTGCCTGAAGGCGGTCTGGAGGTTGTTCAAGAAATTAAAAATCAACTCGTAGTGTTTTAGTTTGCTAGAATCGGGTTTCTTGTTGAAAAAGTGTAGCTGCAACTTCATCAAGGTGTCCCACAACTGCAGGCCCAAATCTAGAAGCACCACACGGCTGAAGACTGGTTTGATGATGAATTCTAAGAGCGAATTTCGTTCCCTCTTGTTGGCGTAAAAGTCAGACGATGCAAGCACGAAATTGAGAAGGTAGGTCTCTGTATGACTGGAAGCATCACAAGCCTCAAAGAGCAACGCCGCTCGTAGAAGCGAAAGACGGACGGTGTTGTTGAAATGCTGCATTTTCAAAGGCAATTCGTAGGATGCCTTGGTTCCGCTAACGTGTTCCATCAAATCCAAGCCACCGCCTCGTTCATCGTATTGCTGAAGAAACCGAAAAACACCCTCCAAAACGGTCTCATCCACGCACGTATCAACAAAGTAAACAGCGATCTCCATGGAAGAAATGCCCATCGCCTTGAGCGACCTCGAATACGCCGGAAACATGCCTTCATCTAAGCAAAACGCCAAGGTCTCTAGAACCCTGGCCTTTTCATCGGAAACACCACCCAAGTTCAACCTATAGCAGTCGCCAAAGAAATAAAAGTGTCTGTGTGTTCTCAAGGAGTAGTGGTTGGCGTAGTGGCTCTGCACATACGCTTCAATCAACGAATGGCCTGTTTTGTATGTGTAGTTCAAGGCCAGGCCGTTTTCGTTCAACTCCGCTAGCGCCTCCTTTCTGATCCGTTCAAGCTCCTCCTGCTGCCGTTCTGTTTTCTCCTTTTCCTCCTCAATGTGTTTCGAGATCTCCTTGGCCTTCTTTAGGAGGCTGGTGTTTTTGGCACCTTGAGTGAGGAAGATGGCTGGGATGGAAATCTCGTCGTCGTCTGGTTTTTCCACTATGGGCTTTGGCGAAGGACGCTTTATCGGTTTGCTTCCGCTCGGCCGGATCGCCTCGAGAATGTCGTCATCGTCTGTTCCACTCAGAATCTCCTCGCTGCTGCTCATATAGTTGATCGCGCGTTATTTGGTGATGGTGTAGGTGGATGAGGGTGGGTGGGTTTTTGAAGGGTCATCGAAAAAGGGGATGTGGGAGGGTTTATGATGAGGTTTCTTCAATGAAGATTTAATGAAAACATCATTTTGAATGTTTTAGTAGGAGGATCGTGGAGTGGAGAAACGGATGGGTGGATATGGCTGCGAAAGTGGCCTGATAAGGCGATCGAAGATGACCAGATCGGTTGCTGATTGAGGTTTTGTGGTTGAAGGAGGATTATTGCAATTGGAGGTGGTTTGAGTCGCTCATATGCTACAGATGGAGGGCTGGTTTTGTCGTCAGTTTTGTCAATACCGGTGAGGAGATGTACATTAAGGGAAGAAGCTTATGAAAGGCAAGGTCATATGGGATGTATTTGGACAGTTTGAAGTGAATGAGATGAGTAGAGTGACGATTTCAAGAATGTGATTATGTAGTTTGTATTTTGTATTTTTCAGTTTTTCTGGGGTGAAGTTTACAATGTGTAGCTGAATGTTCTATGCTTACGGAAAAATGTGAGTGAGAAATACAGATTCTCCACAAATTGCAAAAGTTGTCCACACAATAAAATTGGGGACGTTGTCACTATTCAATAGAATCTAACAAAAAAAAAAAAAAAAAAAATAGAATTGAAATGTCAAAGTACAAATGGAGGTTGCTTCTCTTCTTCTTTTTGTTTTTATGTGAATCCAACGGAGGTCTTCACAGTTGCACACAGTTGCACTACATCACCAACACCCAATTTGAAAGGTAGGAACAAAATAAAAAGACGCTTCCCAAACCTTTCTTTTTTTCAAAACTTGAAGACGTCTACCCTAAAATCCACCCACCTGCCACGGCTAATTGGTGAAATTCATTAAAATGGTCCTCTTCTCGGAGTTCACCTCCGCGTTTGCAGCCATTCCAAGCCACCGGACCAACTCCGAGGGGACACTAAAACGGACTATTCCATCAAAAGACACACCAATTGACAGCACCACTGGACACTAGAAGCAACACAAATAAGCATTTTGAGTAAATATATGGCCATTACCCTCTACATTGCCAGGCAACATCAACCACAGAAGCCCAATTGACAACCACTACATCCCAATTGAATCGCCGACTGAACCCGTGAAAAGCCAAAAACCACTTTCCACCACCCAGCGAGAAACGCACATTTCGGAAACTGAGGCCGTTCGCCGAGAATCCCAAACTTCACCACTTCACTATAACGGACAGCGAAAACCAGCTTTTCAAACGCCGTAGTCTCCACCATCCAGCGCCGTGCATCATTCCCGCCAATTGATTTTCTTAAAAAATCAACGACAAAGTTCAATTGAAAAAGAAACACCTTTGAGCCGTCAAAAATACACCAAATCTACATTGATGCCAATTTAGATGTAAAAGGCAGCGCGGTCAACCTTCTCCAGATTCCACAAAACCACACATCCCAATTCCTCCAAAATCGACCAAACCGACCCAAACCCAGCCACCAGCACCTCCAAGCCAATCCAAATTAACCTCCATCAAAAAAATCACTTTTTCCCTCTACCATCAAACCATTTGGTCGGCCCCTAATTACCCTCCATTAACCGAGCCTCCAGACTTTTTCAGCCCTCGCAGCCGTCCATGGTGCCGTACGGCAGCCACTAGCGCCCCTCCCATTACCACATACCCCGGACACAAGAAAAAGTATAAATACAGCGGATTCCCGCCTCCAACTAATCCTCTCTTTTTTTCCTTTCTCCAAAGAACTCCCTTCCTTTACGTTTCCAATTGCCAGCCTCCTAGGCCTCCACTCACTTCGCGTTTGCTTCCTCCACATTTCCTCAACCTCCCTACTCTTCTTCTTCCATGCTGTTCGACAAACTCGCCTTGGAGCCCCTTTTTGAAAAGATCGACGAGCTCCAGCCGGCCTTCATCGACCGCTTGCGCCGCTCCATCGCCATTCCCTCCGTTTCGTCCGATGAATCGCTCAGACCAAAAGTGGTGGAAATGGCCGCTTTCCTAGTCAACGAACTCACCACCTTGGGTTTCGCCGACATCCAGCTCAAGGACTTGGGCAAACAGCCCCCTCCAGTGAACAACCCCGATTTGCTTTTGCCACCCATTGTCTTGGCCCGTTTCGGCAACGACGAAAAGAAGAAAACCGTCTTGGTCTACGGCCACTACGACGTCCAGCCTGCTGGCTTGGAGGACGGCTGGGCCTCGGAGCCTTTTGAAATGACCCACGACGAGCAGGCCGGCATTTTGTACGGCAGAGGCTCCACCGACGACAAGGGTCCCGTGATGGGCTGGTTGAACGTGGTGGAGGCCCACAATGCCTTGGGCTGGGAGTTGCCTGTCAACTTGGTGGTGTGTTTCGAGGGCATGGAGGAGTCTGGCTCCTTGGGTCTCGACGGCCTCATTGCCCGTGAAGCAAAGAACTACTTCAAGGGCGTGGACGCGGTGTGTATTTCCGACAACTACTGGTTGGGCACCACCAAGCCTGTTTTGACATACGGCTTGCGTGGCTGCAACTACTACCAGGTGCTGATTTCCGGCCCTGGCGCCGATCTCCACTCGGGTATTTTCGGCGGTGTGGTGGCTGAACCCATGACCGACTTGGTCCAGGTGCTTTCGCTGTTGGTTTCCTCGGACGGTACCATCTTGGTGCCTGGCATCGACGAGATGGTGGCCAAATTGACCCCTGAGGAGGACGCTCTCTACGACGACATTGACTTCTCCGTGGACGAGTTGCAGGCTGCCCTGGGCTCCAAGACCGCCTTGTACGACAACAAGAAGGACATCTTGAAGCACCGCTGGAGATACCCATCTTTGTCGATCCACGGTGTGGAGGGTGCCTTTTCCGGTGCTGGTGCTAAGACCGTCATTCCCGCCAAGGTGACCGGTAAGTTCTCCATCAGAACCGTTCCCGACATTGACCTGGCCAAGTTGGACCTGTTGGTGTTTGCCCATGTCACCAAGGCGTTCAAGCAGCTCAACTCCAAGAACCAGATGAAGGTGGAGTTGATCCACGACGGTGACTACTGGAAGTCCGATCCGTTCAACGAGTCCTTCACCGCTGCCTCCAAGGCCACCGAGCACGTTTGGAACGTCAAGCCCGACTTCACCAGAGAAGGCGGCTCGATTCCAATCACCTTGACTTTCGAGAAGGAGTTGGGCACACAGGTGCTTCTTTTGCCCATGGGCCGTGGTGACGACGGCGCCCACTCGATCAACGAGAAGTTGAACGTCAGCAACTACATCAACGGTTGCAAGACCTTGGGTGGCTACTTGCACTACTACGGCCAGTAGACATGAATTAGCAACCGACGAAAACAGAGAAAATTGTAGATTTCAGGATTTGATGACACCTGGCTCAGTAGACTGGAAATCGGGGTCCATTGTGTCGCTTGTGGGGTCTTCCATTGTATGATTTCGCAGCCATTTCTAGTAGCATCTTGTGATGTCATGGAGAAGTTACACATTATGGACAAAAAAAAAAAAAGAAAACAACTCTTTTGCTACTTAGTACGCCGAGTAGACGAAATATCAAAAAAAAAAATACTTGAAATCCATTTTTGTTGATTACTAAAATGTAGACTATCTTGTCCTTTCATTGCCTCTGCTGAGATGGAGATCTTTCGCAAATGCCGATCTTCAAACACCAGCCTTGACGTCAAATGTTCAACTTCACGCCAAAAACCAAAAAATCACCTTCTTTCAAAAAAACCAAAAAAAACCCCCAACGGCCCGGCCCAACTTTGCCAAATACGTCCCGCCAAAATTGGGCTGAGAACGACCGAGAAAAAATCTGAGAAACACCATCACCAAACGCTTCACACCAGTTTCCTCCCCCGTGCATCGCCCCAAGTCTTCCGCTGACCCGGCCTCTCCTGTCACTCTCTTCTCCTGATCTCCCCGCTTCCATCGATACCAAAAACACCCGCCATGTCGGAAAACTTGAAAAGAGCCGAGTCCTTGTTCAACAGGATCATGAACCAGAACAAGCCGGGAGAGACGAAATCAGCCCCGCAGGGCAACTCCCACAGACACAGCCAAAACGAAAACAGAGGCCACCGGCTGCTGTATCGCAGGGGCAGAGACAACAACCTGAAAAACTCTGAACACCACGGAAACGGAAATCGTCATGAACACCACAAGGAAGAGGCTTTAGCCAGCATCGACTTGCCTAAACGGGACCCTGTCAAGGAGGCACAGGCAGCCGTGGCCAAGGTTCCCCAGGATCACCACGTTTTACCCTATTGCTGGACGGTCTGGCATCATCTGAGACTGAAGGTCAAGCCCGAGGAAACCGAGGCCGATAAGGACAACACGTCGTCGGCTTCAGCTGCCGTGGACTCGTATCTCCAAACGACGAACGAGATCGAGTTCCGTGACGTGGCCAACCCGGACGAAACCACCAAAACGATAGCATCTGTGGAGCAGTTGTGGGGCAGTTTGAGCCAGACCAAACGTGCTTTTGAGTTGCACCACAGCACACAGCTTCTTATTTTCAAAACAGGCATCAACCCCGTGTGGGAAGACCCGATAAACGCCAAGGGAGGCCGCTGGGTTTTCCGTTTTGGTCGTCGTTCTCATCCTGGCCATACTGACAAGGACCCCGAAATGAGCGCCAGGGTCAGACAGAGAACGTCGATGATTTGGGAGAGACTCGTGCTCCGGACGTTGACGGGCTCGCTTATTCCCGACAAGCAGTACCTGAAGCATGTTCAAGAGCAGCTTTTGAGCGATATCTCTGGACTTGCCTTGAGCATCCGCCGTGACGAGGATATCGTCAGTTTGTGGAACTCCAACTTACATTTTGGCCGTCGCCGTGGCGACGACGAGGACAAGAAGCCCTTGCAGCCTTTCCAGGCGAGAAGAATCATGTGTGATGCCATTTTGCGTGTGATTCGTGAATGTGACCTTATTCTTCAGGGCTCTGACTGTGTTGAGACGACTGCCACGGGCTCCACCGAGCGCGTGGTTGGCGTTTCTTTTGAATACAGACTTCACGCTGAGTCCAACAGCACGACCATGTACTGGGACCGTATGCGGAGAAGAAACCACCACAAGGACGAGCCACGTGAGGAGGAGGCAGTCGCCTAGGTGTTCAAGAAGGCTTTTCTGAGAATTGGACGTTTTGAGGTATTGGATCGGGATTGAGTGGTCCGTGTATTACCATGGGATGGCCAGCGACACTTGCCATAACCACTAAGAGATCGATCTAGAACCATCTCATCGGTGTGACCGCATCGTGATAGTCACATCGGAACCAACCATTCACTAACTCGCTGGATCGCAAGTCAAGACGCAGCTCATCGGGCTCATAACATTCTGTGCTCTGACTCCGAGAGCCACAGTTTGACTCTCCTCCACCAGTGAACCAAAGTGGACGCTTTATCGATCCATCATCAAAAAATGAAGCCTAAACTGAAGGACCCCCAGATCGGAACGGGATCCTCGAGGATCCACAGTGGATGCTATGGCTGCAAACTGTGCACGCACCTGGCCACGGGGCCCACCTGAACAATCACATGACGCCGTTGTGGCACCCTCCTTAGCCATGTTCCTCCAAGGGCAAAACCATTTTTGCTATTATTTTTTTCCGAACCATTTGCATACGCTTTGTACATAGTGGAGGTTCGTGGGGGTGATGGCAGTTCTGGCGCTTGTGTGCAGTACGCCCAGGGTAAATAAAATTGTGTCATAGAAAAAAAAAAGTGAGTAGCATAGTGAAGATCACCACCTTACCTTACTGACAGCCAAGCAGGCCCTGGAAACGTAACGGAAACGAAAAATCCAACAAAAGACAGTCCCCCTTTTTTTGTCTATTCCCCAATCCCGCTTTATTTCGGCGGTTTCGCTCATCACCGTCTTCATCACCAAAAAAAGCACCTCCACCTTCCCCAAAACAACCCCCTAAAAAATCCAATAAACTTACCCGTTTCCCCGCTTCATGGACAGCCCGCAGAGCCTGACGAGCGAAGCCCGTGCACGGGCTGGGTTGGAACAGGGCCCGACCATTTTGGAACTATTTAGTCAAGCCAAGAAGCTTCTAGCACTTAAACCGAGAGTCGAGAACCGCCAGTGGCGAAAGGACGGCCTGAGCATGCAAGGACTGGGTCTGCCGGGTTCTGTTGAACGGAACATCGGCGCTTCTGGACACCTGGGGTCGCAAAGTCAAGGACCAGTGGACTCTCGAGTTTTGGACCTTTTGCTGCCGCTTTCAGTGGACGATTTCAGGGGCAGTCACGCCCGGCTGAACTCGAGAGATGCTAAGAACCGCCTGGCGCCGCCGCTCACGGAGATCACGCCGTCGCTGATGGACTATAGCTCTCCAGCACATCTTCAAGAAAACGGAGGAAGAAGGGGCTCCAGCACCACGGGCAGCACGACATCCGATGCTTTGACGTTCAAAGCAGGCCACGTCATCAAAAAGGAGCCCTCCGAGGGCGTCACCAACGTGCAAGTGTACTCGTCTCAGAGTCCGCCTCGTGAAATGAAAACCAGCAAAGAGAGCGTCCCCACGCCGCCAGCATCACAGAAGAAGGAATCCAGGCCTGTTTCCAATTTGACCTCGTCCCTCATGAAGGAAAGAAAGGATAAGGAGGAAACGCCGAAGGACGAGGCCAAAGACGAAAATAAGGATAAGCCCACGGAGTGCCAGAACTGCCACACGATGAAAACGCCGCTATGGCGTAAGGATCCCTCGGGAAATACGCTCTGTAACGCCTGCGGCTTGTTCCTCAAGCTTCACGGAACTATGCGTCCTTTGTCGCTTAAAACCGACGTGATTAAAAAGAGGTGTTCCAGAAGAGCCTCCAGCGCAGCCAGAAACGTCTCTTCCTCAGTGTCTGGCGGCTCCTCCTTCCCTAATAGGACACTGCTGACGCTGGAGTTTGCCAGGTACAGAGACGAGGGTATCCCCATCAACAGATCGCTGCTGTACATTGCTCCAGCTGGGTCGTACAATGCACTGTTTTCCAGCGAAAGACCGAAAAACGTCTTGATTTTGCCGAAACCGTCGGGTTCGGCTCCGGGCTCAGCGGCAGGTTCCGTGCCCGGGCTGTATATGAATCTGGTGAGTTCGCTGAACGTCCAGCTGCAGTTTTCCAAGCCGTCGTCGCCGTACCTGACGACCCTGCAGTTCAAGCGGAAGAAGTCAGACATCAATATCAACGAGATGCTGGACGGTTTCGACAGAAGGGTGCCCCTGCTGCTCTCGATGAGCAGCTCCCTCAACAATACCGGCAACACGCCCATCGCCAAACGTGGCTTCCAGGCCTCTTCGCTCAACAGAAGAACCTCCGTCACCAACCTCCATCGAAAACTGTCCTATGTTGGAACGCCCAATGGCTATTCTGTGACGCCTACACAGCCATTAACGCCTGCTAACGCAACGCCTGGAAACACGGCTTTCACAAACCTCAGCAGTCTCAGTGGGCTGGTGCCTCTGGCTGCCAACGCCATGCGCCACAATGTGTCGACGCCGGTGATGGGCTTTTCTTCCAACACCTACTTTGAAAATCCCACCAACAGCGCCAACGGCGGCCACAATAATAATGCTCCTAGTGAAGCGCCGCTGCCTTCGTCGTACCACACGCATCTCCCGTCCCGGCAGCTGTTCATTGTGCCTTCGGACGTGACGCCGTTCAACTTCAACCCGGAAAACCCCACCACGTTGAACTCACCGGACAAAACCGGCGACACCATGGCGGACGACGACTTCTTCCGAACGTACACCTCGCTCCACGCCGACGAGGACGACAAGATGACGCCGTTGGACGACGACAATATCGTGCCGATGGACACAGACATGGTGAATGTCGGCGGAAAGTACGAGATCAAGCCGACACCGACACGCTCGTCGCTTACACACGGGCTCAAGGGCGCCAACGACAGCAACAGTAACATACAAAAGGGCAACCAGCCGTACGGCGACTTGGACTGGCTCAAGTTTGATATATAGCCGCGCCACTGGCGAATTAACGAGTCATATGAGGAGGTGTAGGGTGGTGAAGTTTGGAGAAATGTAAGATTAAGGGCTCTGGAAGCCCAAATGTATAGAGATGAAAATAGAGAGAAGCATTGGTGAGATAATTGACATCCAGAGGGTGAGTTTTATGGTAGTTATAGTCATAACCATGACTTGCTTAGAGTTATCTTTCTACAGGTTTTACTCTCTTTCTCCATTCCTTTCAATATGTAATTTCTCGAATTGAATGACACACTTTCGAAAAGGAAAACAGCTATATAATTCTATTACCACGTTATTTCGTATACTGGTGATTTGTGGAACTCTTTCATGAGTAGTCCATTTTTCGCAGCCATTGAATAACTGCAAATACCACACCTTTCTTCACCATGTTCTTGTTTTCACCGTCACGATCCAAGTATCTTGAACCAAATCCCATTTCGTTTTCAACAGAATCAGAAGAATCAGAAGAGTTTGAGCTTTTCCAGCTGAGCACCTCCAAATGGGCCAGTCTTCCGTTCATCAGAGCTGAAGGAAGCACCAAAAGCGAGGAGGTTTTTGAAGAGGAAAATGAAAATTTGGAAGATCTTTCGGAAGAAGAAAGTGAACTTCTTTTCATGGGAATTGTTCCAAAAAAACGTGTGACGAAATTGGGGACGTTCTGTAAACGGTCTTGCAGTTCCCTAACAGCTGGTTTGTTGAAGAAGGAATACCCAAATTTGAACCAAAAGCCCTCCATTGACTTACAATCCTGTTCAGTATCAAAGGTTTCCTTCAAGATCCCATCCATGGAAACCACTGCTGAATTGACTGAATCCTCAGAAGAGCCAGTTTCCAACGTTCTGCATCCTTCGGGTGAAAGCACCAACACACGGAGCCTTATATGGAGAAACCTTTCCTTCAGACGTCTTCTGTCCCACAAAAGTGAAGGTTCTTATGGGAGTTTGAAGCAAGAGTCCAGAACATCCACATCCAACAAGGCCAGTAAGCCCAGAAGTACAGCATTCATGCCTCGCGCCTTTAGACTACAACCTCCAAAACGACCATCAAAGACGTATACGTGGTTGGGTCGAGCGGTGCTAAACTTCAGAAGCTCGGTGAACATGAGGGCTGCTTCGGGCTTTGACTTCGGTGATTCAAATGCATGGCCGGCATGAACCCAATGTGTGTGGGCACAGTTCCGGGGGCTGTCGATGAGGCTGCGTTTAGGGCGCATACCCCGATGCACGAGCAGTCGCCGGGAGACGCACAGTCCGTTTCAAATGCCGAAACAACCCCAGCAGCCATCCCCAGCTGCCATGGAGGCAAGTTGATGGCTTGGTGGGATATATAGAATACAAGAAATGGTTTAATGTTTGATGAACAGTCCTGGCTACATGGAATCACCTTGCTCGTTTTAGAGGTAGATAGTCAATTCACCCTTTCATTTTTTAGGATCAACCAACAAACTACTCGGTTGGTTAGAATTGCCCAATTTCAATAAAAAGCCAATTAACCAATATTATCTCGCCAAAGTACACGGGATACCCTTTCTAGGGGGTTTCGGGACCCAGGAGTGCTTTATCTAATACTCCTCACCTATCTCTTTCCGCTAAAAGCACTATAACTATAAATAATCCACCAACACCACAATTAAAGTAATCACAGTTTAAATACCCCCTCTGTGTCACCACTAACCTCGACCTTCCCTTTTGTGCCAGTGGTGACCACTCAGCATGAATGACCACTTCCTACCACAAACACAACGAGGAAACTCCAACACCCAACTGTCTATATAAACCCGCCCAAAATCCCCAACTCCAAATTTCCCACCACCACATTTTATCCGTCTGAACACTTCCCCAATGCACTTTACAAACGTACACAGACAAAGCGAAGCTGCCTTCTTCCCCCAGTTCAGCTTCAGAGACATCTCGGCAGCCATCAGAAACGCACGTTCCAAACTTGCAAAGGCTGCCCATCTCAGAAACCACTCTAAAATCGAAAAATCGTCCGTCAAGCACGGCCTCAAGTACCACCTCAAGCGGGTATTCACCCACCCCAAGAAGGAAACCCGGATTCTCAAGGAAAAGCTCAAGGCCAGGGCTTTTGGGTATTCTGGACAAACCACCAAAGCCTGTTTTTCCCCAGCAGGCAATAATCACGTTTCAGAGCGCAAATCAAAGCATAAAGGCCACCCGGAATTGGAAAACGTATCTCCAGAACAGGTTTTGGATGTCCACGCCGAAAAGGTCGAAACCATCGGCTCCAACTTCGAAGGATGCTGGAAGGAAATCAAGGCTCTAGCAGCCCAGGGCCCTGAAAAGCCCCCATATTTCGAAATTCTCGACGCTTTTCTCGAATCCGAACTCACCTCGTCCTCTTCAAAATGGGACTCTGTTCGTCTGACTGTGGGCTCGTTTGCCGAAACCTTCGGCCAGTCCGATGACGATCTTTGTGCCAATTTCCACAGAATGCTGAAGTTCTTGAATCGCCGGAAACAGCTGATCGAAATGGGCGGTCTGGTGGCCTCCCTGGCCGGATCCTTGTTGAAGGATACGTTGAAGTATCTTGACGAATGCCAGAAAACCCACAAGGAAAAGCTTGTCGTTGTGGGTGGAAAGCACATGTTTTTGAGGAATCAGATTACTCAGATTCATGCGGAGCTTCTGGCACTAGCGCATCGACATGCTGCTTTTCGGAAGAAGGTGATTCTGAGAATCAGCGTCGGTCACTCCTTGGATGACAATTCCACAAGGAAGCTAGAGAAGCAGTTGAAGCAGCTTCACCACATGGGCAGTCTTCTCCTGTCGTTAGACCTGGATGTGACCACCCTATACAACCAGACATGTCGGAGGCTTCTGCTTCTTCGGGACGTCCACACCCAGATGGAGGCCTTCTACCATTGCTTCAACGAGCACCAGAGGTATTTTTCCAAGAAGCTCAATTACGAGTGTCCTGAGCCCAAGGGCACTTACGACTTTGCATTCTACAGTGCTGCTGTCGAGAGCCACTACGAGCACTATGCGATCAATCTCGAGGCGACGCAGCGGCTCCACAGTTTGCTTGTGCTGGAGGTGCGGGATCTTTACTCGATTCTTGCCGCCCTGGCGTAGTCCGTTAAGGATCTCATTACTTTATATGAATATATTAAAATTTGAAAAGGATGTAGGCAGTTGCAGGAGGCGTGGCGGCAGTGGCTGAGGGTCCCAGAGCGGGTCAGTAAATGACACAACAAGGCCATGGCTTTTGAAATTAATGGATTTTCCGTTTTTTTCGGAATACGTCAAAATGGGTGCAAATGTGGCATGGCACGCGAGGTCGATCTCGATAAAGCAGGACGACGCACCGCCTGCACTGCGCCAGATTGTCTACTTATCGTGCAGCATGACAAACACTCACTTGATAAACACACAAGAAATATATGTTGAAAATCGGATGGATTTCCAAGTCGTTTTTTTCTTAGTAGTAATAATGAGGTTTTTTGGAAGTACAAAGAAAAAGGGCCAGCTCCACACCACAGAACGCATAGCCAATCGGCTTTGACACATTTGACACCAGAGAAGCTTCAAATAAGGTTTCAAAGTCACGAGGCTAATTACATTAGAGTATTATGAGTGTAATCATGTGGCCCCCCCCCGGAAACAGCGAAACATAGATGCCCAGAATCGCTGAAACCTACCAGGCCATCCTCATACCAATGCTAATTTGCTTCTGACCAAACCATGATATTGCTTGTTGTACCACGAACCTTTCAAATGATTTCAGAAATCTTCTAACTCGCCCTACTAGAACCGCCCTTCTGAGACCTGCAAACTACCCAGACACCTAGGTCTTCCCAACGACCCTCACAGTACTCCTCTCCTTCAACCCTCCATAAGCCCAACCAATTCCACCCAAATCAAAATCAACTCATTCCTTCAAAAACCCCCCTCCCCCTCCACCAACCCTCCCCTCCAAATCAACCCTTCACTCGTAACCACCCCTCACTGCATCGATGCAACTCCCCACCCCGTACATGGCATATGCGGGCACCCCTCCAACACCATCAACGATCGCCAACACAAACCCCAACAGATCTGAAAAGCACCTTTAAAGAAACTTCCAAAACACAAAATCCAAAGTCGCCTTCCCTCAGACACATTTTCCTATAGTGTCCCGCGAACGCTGCAACCTCGCCGTTTACGGAGTTACTCGGACTTCAACAAAAATCTCCGAACGCCAAAACCCCCTTAAAAAAATCAACTCGCCCAAAACCTCTCCACCGCCTCCAAAACCCCCGTCCCTTTATTCCTTTCCGCCTGCCTCCGTCGAATGGCGTCCCACGTGACTGGTGACTAAATCGTGCACGATGAGCTCAGTGTGGGGATCAACAACCAGAAACACCTTACCATGGAGCCCCGGAAACGCCGCAGAACCACCATCGTCTGCAACATATGCAAGGCCCGAAAGGTCCGCTGCGACAGAAACATCCCGTGCAACTCGTGTGTAAAACACAGAACGGCCCATTTGTGTTCCTACAACGACGACTTTTCAGAGGATGAAAAACCCATCAAGGCCGAGCTGCCGCCTCCGCAGATTCAACAAGAACAGACTGTCTATTTAGCGCCGGTCAATGCGGCACGATTTCTCTCGAATTTTGCCGACTACGCCTCGGTGGTGGGTGTGAATCCGTTGAACGGTCCGCTGGAGAAAATCTCCTTCTTTCTGGACTACTCGTCCATGAGCTACGATCCCGTCACAAAAGAGGAAATGAACCACGGCCCGTTTCTGTGGCACTCCATTGTCCGGGTCGACCCGGCGCTAGCGGACGTGTGGAACTTCATCTTGGATATCAAGCCCACCAAGAGGGTGAAAGTGCCCAGCGTTTATACGAAAACGGTGGTCCGGGACAACGCTCCGTTGCAGGTTTTGGACAAGATAAGGCAACATTCAGAACAACGGTTCGATCCCGCCAACGCCAAACTACGGCTGCAAAACATCCCCTTGGGGTTGACCTTCAAAGACATCTTCAAGGACAAAACGGACGCTTCTCACGAAGAACGGCTTATGGCGATTCTCCCGTCAAAACGTGTGGTGTGGACGCACATCGACCGATTCTTTCACTTCATCTACCCGTTCTTCCCTTTTCTAGATGAGGTGCACTTCAGATCGAACATCGAGCGTATTTTGGGGCCTCTTTCGTACCACGACGAGCCGGTTTCGTCGGTCAACGTGGAGGGCCGAATTGACCTTACTACTATTGGTATTTTGTGCTTGGTGCTAAGAATGAGCTACTTAGCGCTTATATCCAACGAGGTGCTGGAAAACACCGATGTGCTGAAAAGAAGCGACGACCAGGAGGGCCATTTGCTTCTGTGCCCGATCGGTATTGAGTTTGTGGATTTCTCCCGTTTTTGTCTCAACCAGTACCAGGTCTCCAACAGAGCTTCTCTCGGTGTGGTGCAGTTGGTGGTCTACATGAGAATTTACATGGAAGCCGCTCCAGAGGACCCTGACGGACCAGGCCGTGATCTGCACCAGGTGAACAACGGCGTGCTTCTACAATTGGCGTATCTGATTGGTCTTAATAGGGAACCAGACAAAATGATGGATACGTTGAACAACGCCAGGCTCAACAACGTCCGAAGAAAAATATGGATGTTCGTCACCCACAAGGACTACCTCAATTCGGTGAAGTTCGGCACGCCGTTCACGTCGCTGGCGTTTTTCAGCGATACGAAGTTCCCGTTTCTTGATTCGTCAAACTCCAACGGTCCTCAGGACTCCATAGTCGAGGCCTCCATTCGTCCGTTGGACAAAATCATGCCGCTAATCAAGGAGTGCCTCAAGAAAATTCTATTCATCAACCAGGAAAGCTCCATCGCCGAATTCATCACCAACTTGAACCAGCTCGAAGTGTGTCTTCACGAACACTACGGAACATTGCGTGATTTCCACGATTCCTTCTACAAAACAGACCCCAAGTCGCTAGCACACCTGTTGCAGCTCCAGTACTACATCCCCATCCAGATCTTCATTGTGCTGTGCTACTTCCGGTTGTTCCTCCTTTATGAGAACCAGAAATCCACCCACTTGTCCTTCTTCTACCTCAAGAAGATGTTTGTGATTTTGGCGGAAGAGAACATCCCCTTTGCGGCCACTCTCCTCGAAAAACCACATCCGTACTTCCGCTACGCCTACCAGTTTGTCATGAATCCTAACCTAGAGTACATTTTGCACAAATCCGTGGGTTTCTTTGCTGCCATTATTTCCCGACTCGGCTACCAGATCGTGGAGACACCGAAAACAGAATACTATCTTCCGCATCTCAAGGTGCTCATGCGGTCCCTCTCCCGATGCTGCAAAGTGTGTCTTTTGGGGATTCACAAGATCAACCACAGATACTGCTATGCATGGCGAATCGGCACCACCTTCACGTACATCATCAGAGTTCTAGCCAGTGAAGGTTTCTATAAACGCCATTTCAACAGGAACTCCGAGCTTGTGGTGCCGAAATTGCAGTTTTCCAATGACCAGGTCATCGACCTCATTCGTGTGCTCCAGACGCCCATCTACAACGTGGATCTTTCGCTTTTTGAGGTGTACTGGAGGACCGTTGCCGATCTTATTAAGCTCGGCCAAAGTGAAGAAAAAGACGGTTTGAGCAGCTCGCTCTTCAACCCGCTCAACAGTGAAATTGTATTTATTGGAGAACCAGAAAATCTCCTGGGCATTGGGATTAATGATGATAGGTTCCCGCTGCCTCCGGACGAAATGCCGCCAGAGAACTTCTTCCCACATTTTGATTTCCAGTCGAATTTGACGGACGTCATGGGCACCTTTTTCGAAGGCCCCGAGTCGTATTTTGACTCTTTTAGTAGTATTCCCAGGAACCAGGTTTTGGACGACTACGGCGCCGGGCGGTTCTAGTATGGGCGGTTTTCTGGTGACGAGGGCCTATTTAAAATGTACATTTAGTTCACAATAGAGTAATGATCAAAGGCAGGTAGTGATAATGTGGTTTGAGATGCCGATTAACTGAAGCATTTCAAGGGTTTTTGGGTTTGTTGAATTCGAAAATTGAATTGACTGGAGGGTCCCTACAAATTTGATATTATTGTCTTTACAGGGTTTCCTCTTGTCATCTTCAAGACATATACAACGCAGATATACCAATGATGAGTCACTTCTTCTCCATTAATAAAAACCCAATTCCCTCAACTACCCACTTCCATTCAAATCAATGTAAGTAAGTGGAAAATGATATTCGTCTTTGCAGGGTTTCCGACAGTCCTCTTCAAGACATATAAGAAGCAGACATTGTTCTGCCTACACATTCACTACTTTCCAACTAAAAAATATCTCAATCTCCTGTTTCATTTACTTTCTTCAATATCAATAGAATTAACTCGAAATATACTGCAAACTTGATCTTCTCCACTACCACACATTTTCAGCTCTTCTATGTACGGTCGTTTAAGCGTATAAGACCCTCAATTGCATGAGATCAAACTCAACCTCAAATAACCTTAAAAGCTCAAAATCACAGCAAATTCACCAATTGACCTCAACCCAGACAAAAGGAGCCAAGAACGACCAATTTCTGGAATATACACAAATCCGGAACAACACCCCCAGCATATAGCCCATGGCGCAGTAGCGTTTAGGGGATGCGATGCCCTGGTCAATTACGAGATTTGTAGTAAGGCAACAACGACGAAATGATGTAGATTTGCCAATTCTGAAAAAGACACCATTCTGGAATTTACCTGCCCCAATCACCCTAAAACACGTCTTTGTACAATTCGGCCTAGATTGGGATGGACCGGCTGCAAAATGGTGTACGGGTGTGCCCGTGGCACCGTTCTCATGCAGCTGAACCCTGCCGTTGTCCATGTGATTTCGGTCACTTTTGGAGGTTTTTACCTGCAATTGGTCTTGCCAGAATCTCAATAGTTTCTTTTTTTAAAAAACTCTTCAATAATTGAAAAACCCTGACCCACGGGTACCAGGGTGCCCCGATGGGCGTCGTTTAGATCGGGGTGCCTTCCTGCAGGACGAAAATTTTGCACCCAAAGTATATAAGGCGTCGCGATCCCACCAAAAAAAGACCACCTTTACTACAAAGTTCCAACAATGTCTGCCCCAGCCACCAACTACAAAGTCGCCGACATCTCCCTCGCTGCCTTCGGCAGAAAGGACATCGAGTTGTCCGAGAACGAAATGCCCGGTTTGATGGACATCCGTAAGAAGTACGGTCCTTCCCAGCCATTGAAGGGCGCCAGAATCGCTGGTTGTCTTCACATGACCATCCAGACCGCTGTCTTGATCGAGACTTTGGTTGCTCTTGGTGCCGAGGTTACCTGGTCTTCTTGTAACATCTTCTCCACCCAGGACCACGCCGCTGCTGCCATTGCCGCTGCTGGTGTCCCAGTGTTTGCCTGGAAGGGTGAGACCGAGGAGGAGTACCAGTGGTGTATCGAGCAGCAGTTGTTCGCTTTCAAGGACGGCAAGAAGTTGAACTTGATCTTGGACGACGGTGGAGACTTGACCACCTTGGTCCACGAGAAGTACCCTGAGATGTTGGAGGACTGTTTCGGTTTGTCCGAGGAGACCACCACCGGTGTCCACCACTTGTACAAGGCCTTGAAGGACGGCAAGTTGAAGGTGCCAGCCATCAACGTCAACGACTCCGTCACCAAGTCCAAGTTCGACAACTTGTTCGGCTGCAGAGAGTCCATCATTGACGGTATCAAGAGAGCCACCGACGTTATGATCGCCGGTAAGGTTGCCGTTGTTGCTGGTTTCGGTGACGTCGGTAAGGGTTGTGCCATGGCCTTGAGAGGCATGGGTGCTCGTGTCATTGTCACCGAGATTGACCCTATCAACGCCTTGCAGGCTGCTGTCTCTGGTTACCAGGTTGCCCCAATGGAGGAGGTTGCCAGCATTGGCCAGATCTTCGTCACCACCACTGGTTGCCGTGACATCATCACCGGTGAGCACTTCTCCGTCATGCCAGAGGACGCCATTGTCTGTAACATTGGTCACTTTGACATTGAGATCGACGTTGCCTGGTTGAAGGCCAACGCCGAGTCCGTCGTCAACATCAAGCCTCAGGTCGACAGATACTTGATGAAGAACGGCCGTCACGTCATTCTTTTGGCTGAGGGTAGATTGGTCAACTTGGGCTGTGCCACTGGCCACTCTTCTTTCGTCATGTCCTGTTCTTTCTCCAACCAGGTCTTGGCCCAGATTGCTCTTTTCAACGCCAAGAACGACGAGTTCAGATCTAAGTTCCCTGAGTTCTCCAAGTCTGGTCCTTTCGAGGTTGGTGTGCACTTGTTGCCAAAGATCTTGGACGAGGAGGTGGCCAAGTGCCACTTGTCCCACTTGGGTGCCAAGTTGTCTGTCTTGAGCGACAAGCAGGCCGACTACTTGGGTATTCCAAAGGAGGGCCCATTCAAGGCTGACATCTACAGATACTAAGCGATTAGAAGTGTCTCTACTTGACGGCCCTTGGTTTTGAGTTTGACTTCTTTTCTGTATTACTGCATCAACTGCATTTAATGACTTTTTTTCTATTTTTGGCAACGACGGGTTCTCAAGTGGGTTTTAAAAACTATGGTTACACTTATACAGCTATATCCTCAACGGAATGTACATAATTTACAAGCGCATTGTAGTTCCACCACGTCAATCTGGCGGCTCCACATGGGTACGCGGTTTATCAAAACGTGACCCACATCACGTGCCCTTATCAGCACATATAAGAACCTGAGATTCCCACTTTTTCCCACCAACTCATGCTATTATTACTTTCACTTTTATCCATTACCAGCGCCTTTCCCTTCACTTTCTCTAAGGCCCAGCTGCCACTAGAGAACACGTTCGGTTCATGCCCGAAGGGTCTTCCAGCTTCTTGCACCAATTCAACGCCTATAAATAACGAATGTTGTTTCGAAAGTCCCGGTGGCGTTATGCTCCAGACACAATTTTGGGATTACTATCCTCCCATTGGTGATAATGACACGTTTACGTTACACGGCTTGTGGCCAGACAATTGTGACGGAACGTATGAGCAGTTCTGTGATAACAGTCTCGAGCTCTCTAAAGGCGAGATTAAGCGTATTCTCACAAAGTTCGACGACCAGGAGTTGTATAACAAGATGGAGAAGGTCTGGAAGAACTTCAATGGTGACGATGAGTCGTTGTGGATCCACGAGTTCAACAAGCACGCCACGTGCATTAAGACCATCAGACCCAAGTGTTACAGCGACTATCAAAACGACGAGAACGTCTACGATTTCTTCAAGATTTCCGTCGGTCTCTACGAAAAGTACCCCACGTTTGATTTTTTGGCCCAAGCAGGCATTCACCCTTCCTTGGACGCCACCTATACAAAACAGCAGATTGCAGACGCCTTGAACTCCCAATTCAGCGACAAGACCGTCTACTTCAAGTGCAACAAGTACAACGCTCTTCAGGAGATCTGGTACTTCCACCACCTCAAGGGTTCTCTTTTGCTGGAGGAGTTTATCCCAATTGATGCACTCACCAGGTCTAGTTGCCCAGAAACTGGTATCAAGTTTTTGCCAAAGGGTAAGTTCTCTCCACCACCTGGCCAGCCTCCAAAGGACCCCAGCGGCAGAAGGGGCTACCTTCGTTTGAGTGACCACGCAGGCTGTCTTATAAGCAACGGTCAACACTACGAATATGGAACTTGTGCAACCTTTAGAATCGCTGATTCTCAGTTTGGAGGCAAGAACTTGTTGAGCTCCAAGGGTGTCTGCGGTTTCGACGACAAGGGCGATTTGACCTGTAACCGTTCCAACTCCAGATCCAAGTTCCAATTCCAATTCGACAAGGAGTCCAAGACTGTTGGTTTTGGTGGAAACTTCAAGTGGTGTTTCGATACAGCAGGTAGACATGGCCATGGTAAGTACATCCAGACTCCAGTGAAGTTGTCCGATGGCGATTGCGAGGAATTCTCCTTGAAATTGGCTTGATTCGTCTATAAATTATTTACCCCAAAAAATGCACACCCTTTTACGACTTGCCCTCGGCTTCTGTTATGGTCTTCATCTGCTCGTGCAAGTAGTCACTCAACTTGATCAACCCAGCACCATTGCACACTCTGTACATCGAATTAGGGTCGAACGTTTGTGGAACGATCTTGCCGCCATCATCAACCAAAACATATCCAAAAATGCTGTCGACTTCAGGTGTACGTGCGTATCTGGGCACTTCACGGAAATCGTAGATGGGCATGAAAGTCAGCGCACTGGCACCCGCTTCGATGATGAATGTAAAGTCTTTATGGATGGATTCATGGATTGTAGAATTGAGCAAATCCACAAACTTTTTGTTCACCAGGAAGGTGTTGGGGTTTATGTCGGTCGATGGAGAGTAGCCAATCGCAGTTGCTGCTGGGTTCTGCGATAGGTTCGCAATGACTCTGCCAGGCAGCTCATGCAAGTATATTTGGCTGTTTTTTGAGTACCTTGTGTAATGCCTGATCTGATTGGCTATCTGCTTCTTAAATGCTTGAGATAACATGGTGTGGATGGCGATAATCTTGATCCACCAACATACTCGCTAGATGAGGGTACACCCGTGCACCCACTAGTTCAAGAACTTATCGTCGCTTTTAGCCGAATCGTCACTATCTTCGTCATCTTCGTCATCTTCATTTTCGTTTGAATCAGAGTCAAGGCCTGATTCTGAGACGGACTCCTCGTCGCTTTCCTCTTCCTCCTCGCTCTCTTCCTCGGACTCAGATTCCGTTTCCTCGTTACCAAAGAACTCATCCAAACTTTGCAATTTATATGGCTTGGCTTGAACTGGGGCAAGGTTCTTGATCAGAGCAGATGAGATCTGGCGGCTTGAGGACGTAGGAACAGTCTTCTTATCCTGGAATGCACCGTTCTCGAAACTGGTTGGAACAACTTCCACCGCAGTTTCTTTACGAATCGATTTCGGTGGTAAAGTCTCTGGATCGGCCCATCCTTCAACAGATAAGTAGTCCCGAAGGATGGCTGGAGTGTCCTCGTCAAAACTCACCGCAACGAGTGGAGCAGGCTTTGGGACCTGGAGCAACAAGGTGGCAAGCTTGGAATTCTTTGGTTTGAACAAAAGCTGGTCCAACATTCTCACACGGTCTCTGGTATCAAACAGGGCATCGTAGTGGGCCAATTGGGAAACATGGGCGTACATTTTGCCGATGGGAGTGTCCGCCAAGGTTTCAGAATCGTTCTTTTGTAGCTCGTACAGATACGATTTGGCAGCCAAAATCAAAAGCTGGTAACGAACATTTTCAGGTTCGTTGGAGAAAGTCTTGAGAGCTCTTCGGAGCAAGTCCGGTCCAATAAGGTTGTCTGCTGCCTCGGTAAACTCACCAACGAGCCAAATAATTGTAGCTTTTGCGTCCGGATCGAAACTCACAGTATTGTCATTGAGGAGCTTCCCGAGTTTGTAGATGGTACGAACCACGCTCTCTATTTCGGAGCGGTCCGAGCCTGCCTGGCTCTGTTTGAGCTGGAGAAGGTGGCGGATCACCGTGAGAAGATCACTGACAATTGGAGTAGCACCAACATTGCTGATTTGCAAGGAGCACCAGCGCAAAATGTGATTTGTCCACTCTTTAGAAGCGCGAGAGCATCTGCCTAAAGCACGCACTGCTTCGTGGGCGACATGGGGTCTGAATGCTGAATTGAGGGCGCTATATTGAAGCTCCTTGATGATCTCTTTGGCGGTAGTTTGAGTCGCAAGAAGGGGAAGGGCGTGCAATTTGAGGGAAGCCACCGTGTCGTCGTCGGTGGGAAAAACGTAAAACTTTCTGTAATACTTTTCAAAAACGGCTGGAGCGGTTTGGGCAATATGAGCCACCACATGCAACGCATACGATCTAGCGCTGGAGCCGGAAACGGGCGTAGTGGCGAGTTTTGTGAGTATTCTCGGGAGATCAAATTCCACCAAGTGTTCTGGAGTGGCGATCAAAATGAGGGCCCTGGCCACAGACAAGATGACGGCCTCTGAGTAGGAGTAGACGAGTTTGCGTAGGGAGTCCACGAAAAGCTGAAGATCAGCATCAAAAGACACGGTGTATGAGGGTAGCGAAGCAAAAGCGTCGAATTCAGGAAGTGGCATGGTCAGCCCGTCCTGAAAGGTGAGCTCTGGTCTGGGCAAGAACTTCCGTGCGTACTCTGTGAACAAGTCTATAGCGCTGATCTGCGCCCACTCGTCCATCTGGGGCAAAAGGCGGCAAATACGGCGGAAATTGGCGTGAATGGGAGCCCATGCTTTCTTTGGAGATGTCGCCGAAAGCAGCGGAAGAAGCTTGACGTGCACTTTCAACGCCAGACTCACCACTGCCACGGACGAGTCGCCCACGAGCCCTGCCAAAAACAGCGCCAACTGCGATCTGTTGATTCCGTCAATGTGGAAGGCACGCCCAATGGCCAATGCAGAAGCCGCCCTCACATGGGGCAGCTGGTCGTTGACGGTTCTCTTGATACAGAGCAAGATCAAGGAGCCAATCTCCAGGATCCTGATGCCCGCCAACGCCCTGATCAGCGCCGCACGGGCCGTCGCCAGCTTGTCGCTAAGCAGTTTCTGGATCGAATTGATCAGCAAAAGCGCCGTATCGGGCTCGCTCTCTCCGTACTTCAGAAGATAGATCAACACCAACGCCCGGACACGGGCCAGCGGCAGCGTGACGTTTTTGACCACGTCAGCAAAAAACGGCTGTCCGTCCTCGCCCCTTCCCACCAACGCCATCACGCATTTCATGCCATTGAGCACGTCCCGGTCGGTTCTGGAATTCAAGAGTTTGACGATTTCCTGGGGTCTTTTCGCCGTGGGGGTTTCGGAAAGCCTGCTCAGCGCCAGCATGGCCGCCTCGATCGTGAGGTCCCGAGCCAGCTCGAGCATCCACAGGATTTTGCTGAAAGGATCGCTCATGGAGGTGTAGTTGATGTGAGGTTTTTAGTGCGAAGTAGGTGGAGTGGGTGTATCGCGGGATAGTGGATTGGAGGATTGGAGAAGTGTGATTTGGAGAAGTGGAGGAAGGTTTTTGTAAAATTGTGATTTGATAAATTGGAGGTGGGAAATTTAGTGACTTTTTTTTGTTTCTGCTGGTTGTGGTTGAAAAGTGTTACCAAATGGGTAAGTGTCTATTCGGTTTGGGTGCAACTCAGTCGACTGCGAAGTGTATTTAGTGTGCTTGTTATGGGGAAGCTACCAGACCTACGGAAATGTTCTATGTGGATTTATATAGATGTTTTGAGAATGGCAGATTGGAGAGTTGTATGAAGCCCTTGTAGAAAATTTCACCGAAATAGAGATGCTTTTTTGTGTGGACTTCTCAAACGCTAGTTCTTGAAAACCAGTACCAAAGTCGACTTCGCTGCGATTATCAAGACATTTTCGTAAAAGATCATCAATGATCTCACTTTGTTGTTTTGCTCAAAGCCTGGAAAGTCACTTCAAAAAGCTGATAGTATACATTGGAGGCTGAACAATCAGCTGATCGATAAGATCGTACATCAATCACTGCTCATGTCTAGCATCTATATCCTAGGCTCAGTCTTTCGCAGCCAAAAAGTCGTACTGAGGTGAATTATATTCATGAAAACAGGAATTCTATCCTGAAAAATGCTTTTCTAATCGATGTTACTACGCCGTCCTCTTTCTTCATGCTATTATTGTCCGTATGTGGTGTACCCTAAGCTGCCAGGGCTCAAGCTGCCAAGGCTCAAGGGGGACATTAGTTTCTAACGAGAAACCAGATAGCCATTGACAAGCGAAAAACCCTAACCTTTGAGCTATTGGCTCGCAAAGCTATCATTTACATCCCACGAAAACCCCCTCCGTTGCACCCTTAAGCTCCAAGCGTCACTCTCACCTTGCCGAAACAGTAGTCCTTATACTCCTCAACATACCCTTTATGGTTAAGTTCTACCTCTCCTGTAAGCTCAGACACAATCTCCTCGTTTCCAGCCACGAGCACCATTCCTCTGGGCATTTGTGTCAAATCTGGAAACTCCTCCACGAGCCTCTTCTCGAATATAAGACCCGCCAAGTTGTTGGCGACCTGGCGACCCATGTAAAGCGCCCAGCCGGCGGATTTGATGATAGGCTTTTCGACCATGTCGCCAATGCAAAAGATGTTCTCAACAACTGACTGGTTGCTGAGCTGACCGTAGTCGTTGACATGCACGTTGTTGGCTGGCGAAACAAACAGGGCCAAGTCGCCAACGAGAATGTCTGTGTTGTTTTTGAAAGCCGTGCACCAGTATGTAAAGTCGGCCTCGAGGATGTCGCCGTTTGTGAGTTCCAAATCGTGGTTCTCCAACTCCTGCTTCACTCGTAACCCTGTCTTTACTTGAACACCAGCCCGCTCAAGACTCTCCCGGCTCATGTCTTTGAAAGCGTCCGTAAGCGGCTCTGGTGGGAACTTTTCGTGTGGGTGGATCAACATCACATCTTTCTCCGGGTGCTTGGTTTTAATGTCTCCAGCTATTTCTATACCCACGGCACCGGCGCCCACAACAGCGATCTTGTTGACCAGTTTGGCCTGATCGTTGAATTTGGTCATTTCCTGGAGGTAGCTTTCGTAGTTGTAGGCGTCTGGAGACGTAGGCCACAGGCGGTTTCTGCCTGCTGCTATGACGCAATAGTCGAAGGTGATGGTCGACAGGGTGCCACCGTTGAGTGTATACGTGGCCTTTTCTCTTTGTAGCTCGTTAACTCTGCCCTGGATGTAGGTTATTTCAATGTGCTTGTTGTTGTCGGGACGAACCTGCGATCCAAGTTCCTTCTGCACGTACTCGTCGTCCAGAACCAAGCGGTCAAACGGCAAGTCGTTGAGGTTCTGGAGCGGAACATATTGCGTTTTTGCAAACTCCGGGTCCACAATGGCACGGGGCACCCCTAGAATGTTGAGGAGGCCCGCTTTTGGCTCGATGAGCGTAATAGAAATCCGGGTTGGAGGAGGCGTCAGTTTGAAGATGTTTTTCAAGGCCACCAACGCCGAAAGTCCGCCATACAGACCCCCTATTATAAGAATATTCGTGGCCAAAGCTACGGCCTCTTTATTGTGCGATGCCATGGTGAAGTAGCCCAGATCCACTTTTTCATCTCGCTTCGACGCCTGGACGAGTATATATATGCACTTCGAATGCCGCGCTTGCGGACAGGACGAACGCCCCGGTGGGTGCAAATTAACAATAAGATTGACAGCAACCCAGCAGGGAGGCAGTTCTAGATTGGGAGATTTTTGTTTGAATGCAGCCGTCATGCCCCTTTCACTTTAAGGGTCCTGTCAGGCACGGTGGTCCGGTTTTAGGCCTTGCATGAGATGAGTCGCACGGTTGGTAATCTAAACCATCAGTTGCAGAAAGGGGCTTCAAACGGAGTTGGAATGGTGGTAAGGGGGTGTTTTTGGAGGCAGCTGATTTGCTGAGCTTGTTTGGTCGAGCAGTCTGGGAGGTTTTGCTTCCGGAGCCGAGATCGGCATCTTGATGAAATAGATAACGCCGGGTGCATCAGACGTCAGTATGAGGTAGCCTGGACGGAAACAACAAGGGGGAGGGCCCCCTCCAGTCGGAGCTTCTAGATAGATGATGGTGGGAAGTGAAAACCTCATTTTGATCTTCCTGCAGTGATCCCATCGGTCTTCGTTAACTCCTAGCTGGTATCAGCTCGATCAATCGGGGTGAGTCAATTGAACCAAAGACAATTTCAAAAGAGATCCGGAACGGGGCCACCTCACCACGGTCTCTCGAGAAAGGGCGATGACGTCGATGACCCACAGTCCGTTGACGGCGTCGATGGACCCTTCTCTTCATTTTCCTCCTGCTTCTGCTGGAACGTCTCCGTCACAAATCCTTCAAGATTCGATGTGTGCTCTTCAAACTTTGTCGTGTCTCCGTCCAGATACCTCAGGGCATTGTTGAACATACCCAACACCTCCTTAGCGGTCATACGGGAGAACTGCGTCATGGTGGGAGATCGAGGCTTGAACAGGGTCGTTTCGTCCATCTTCAACGGTATGGTCATGCCGTCACGAGATGTATCCGCTGGTTTGAACAAACTGTCCTTCACTGGTGTCTCTTGAACTTGTAACTGTTTTTGCTTTTGGAAGTTCTTTGACTGGCAAAACACCTCCAACGGGCAGTATTCCTCCCCTGGGGATGGATAAAGCAAGGCCATGTTGAGCATGAGCTTTTCCGTTGGTTTGCCAGGATGCTGGATGGTGGTGTACTTTTCAGGACCAGAACTGACCTGCCATTCCTTTTGTGGTTCAGAGTCACGGAACACCTCGAACTTTGCAGAAGACGGACGGCTGGCCTTTTGCTTCAAAACCTCGCCTGCCCATGGTTTGGCGGCAATTACGTTTTCCTTGAGCCTTAGCGCTGGAACGCTTTCTGGAGCTTGTGCATCGCCAAAGACGGAATCCTTGATGCTGATAGGATCTGAATCACGGTGTACAGCGATCTTTGGTCGTTTCTTGTCGCTTCCAGCACTATTAGGCGGAAGAGGCAGGCCTCTTTTTAGTGAAAGCACGTTTCGAATGGAAGAAGGCCTGATCTCAAAGTTTTCACTCCTGCGCTGGAAATAGCCGAAACTTCGTTGTAGACGGGCCAATGGACGAGCCTCTCGTTCAATTCCCACGCTGTAAACCTCCATGGCGTCTCCGTAGGCACCTTTGGTCTCGAGGTATTTGGCAAACTCCTCATAGTACAATGCCAACTCGCTGCCGATGCCCTTTTTCGCCAAATAAACAAACACGTCTCGAGGCAGATCCGAATACTGGCCGTACTCAAGCCAAACACGGAGATATCGTGGGTCGTTCTTGTAGAAGTCTGTGTCTCTGAAACAGGATGTGCATCTTTCTAGGAGTCCTAGAAGGCCGCTTTCCGTGTTGCCTCCTTGCGGATACGTCTCATTGGTCCAGCTGATGTAATCAAGGTACGGCTGGAGCGGATCATCGAGCTCCTCCTGTTGCGCTATTAGCAGTTCGAACTCGTTCTTCTTGGCTGTATGGGCAGACTTGGGGGCCTGTTCTTTTAGGGCTAGGGCTAGACGCAGAGCCGGACGACCGGAAGCCCTGGGCGCTATATTTTCCTTTTGTTGTTCTAGCACCAGGAAGTCCATTGGTGTAGGTTTGGGTGGATATGTGTGGATTAGATGTGTTTGTTTATGTTCGCGATGTTGATAAGGTGGAGCTGAAAAATGGGTGGTCAGGGTTGGAGGATGTGTGGGATGATTTGGGGTACTGATCTTTGGGGGTTAAGTGAATAAGGCGAAATCAGTTTTGGGGAAATTAAAGGCTTTTCTGGGAATTGATGGTATTTGTATGGATACGGCTGATTGTGATTCGCAGCCATTTCGCAGCCATTGAAGAGGTGGATCAAGCAGTGGGAAAAGGGCGATTTGTTACTATTTCTAGAAATTTGAAGGAAATTCTTCTTCTAGGCTAATTGAGGAATTTCATGTTTTCTTGCTCTTTCTGGTACGATAATTGCGTTGTCTTTTCGTGTCACTGAATTGACCACATGAATCGCATGAACTACGAGGGCTGCTCGTATTGAAGCATTCGCTGTCGTCCAAAGTGATTTTGGTTATGTACGTTTACGTCAAAGTGAAGTGAAGGATATTTCCCAGTGTTGTAAGCCTCCTCAGTAGCAATTGTTTAGAACGATTGTCATCGTCAGGATGCAATGGACAATCAGAGCTTGCGAGATAACTCTCAGGTAGAACATCAATTGGATAGCTCAAGTTTATTTTCAGCGTAGTTAGACCAGAAAACGAAAGAATGCTCCATCATATGAAGGTAAGTCAATAGAGAGGGCTTGTCTTTGACACTATTCATGGACCTCAATGCATCGTCCATACTACACCACCATCAAACTACACCCTACCAACTACTTCAACCCAACCTAGCTTTCCAACATTTAAAATTTATAGACAAAAGTCAAATCTCTAATAAAGTTTATAGAATCACCAAAAATAAACCCTCCAAACACCCATCCCACTCTTTTGCAACCGCTGGACTGCACCTACACGTATCAACCTCACCAAATACACCTACTTCTCCAGAACACCTCCAGGAACCACCACGTTTTTCTCCACAGAAACACCATCCCACATGATCTGGTTCTTATTACTAGCGGTGGCGTGTGCTGCCTCGTACCATGAGGAACTCACTTTCCGCCCGCTCCCCAGAAACACCCTTCTTGCAGACTTCCACTTTAACACGGTGCTGCCTGAGTTTCCTTTGGAATACGCCAATCTGCTGGCTCCACAGGACCTGCCACCGCGTCATTTCGGCTACTTCCCTCGTCTCCTTGCCCCTATTGTCCAGGCAACCAACACGCGTGAGCTTCACTTGCGTTTTACCCAAGGATGGTGGGATGCTGATTCGTGGGGACTGTTGCCTGAAAACGGTGAGGTCATTGGCGGTACAGGCGTGGAGATTTGGGCTGCCGTGGAGGCGCCTGACGTGGAGGCGGCCCGTGCTTCGTGGTTCAAGCTCACGGAGCTGCTTTCGGGTGTTTTTTGTGCATCGCTCAATTTCGTGGATGACGCCGTCACCACGTTTCCTCAGCATAAAACTGCGCTGGAGGCTCCCTTTGTGGCTTCTCCGGAGAACAATCTCTACTTGCTTCGTGCCGCTTTGCCGGATGAGCCCATTTGTACGGAGAACTTGACGCCGTTTTTGAAATTGCTCCCTACGAGAGGAAAAGCAGGAATCGCCTCGTTGCTTGACGGCCACAAGCTCTACGACTCCTTGTGGCACTCCATGAGCGTCGACTTGGTGACCAAGTGCTCGGGCTCAGAGTGTCGTCTCGAGCTGGACCAGCACATCCACCACATTGCCGATATCACCCGTCTGATTCGTCGTAGAAACGAGGGCGGTATCCCTAAGCCTGTGCCGGGCGACAAATTGCGCTGTGACGAGACCAAGCATCACGATGCCTGGCACTGCTTCCCTCTGGGCGAAGAACCCCTGATTGAATGGGACATTGAGGCACTCTACGGAAGACAGATCAAGGGTCCAGGCTTCGAGAACAAGAATGCCGCAACAAAGGTGAACTTCTTGCTTGACTCGGACCATTGGAAGGTGACGCTGTTGAGAGAGGGCCAGCCAGACACTGACGTGACCGAAACGTTCGAGATTGTCGATGCTGTGCCTCACAACTTCCGTCTTTCTACCACAGACTTCAACAAGGTTTTGCCCAAGAAGGACACCCCGTTGCTTGTGTCTCGCTCCCTTACGGGTTATTCTCAGGACCGTGGTGGAATGCGTGTGACTTTGCATAACCCCAAGGACGAAGACCTCTCCGTTGTCTACTTTGAGAGTCTCCCCTGGTTCATGAGAATATACTTGCATACGCTTCAGGTCAGCGGTAACGGTACCATTGAAAACCGTTTCTTCAAGCCTGCCATTGACAGATCTAGGCCCACACATTTGGAATTGAAGTTGAACATCCCAGCAGGCCAGTCTTTGACACTTACCTACCAGTTCGACAAATCGTTGTTGCTCTTTTCTGAGTACCCACCAGATGCAAACCACGGTTTTGCCATCGAGCCAGCGGTTATCAAAATCATCGACAAAGCTACAGGCGAAACCCTGTACCAGCTCAGATCGGCCTCCTTGCTTTTGACCCTTCCTACCCCAGACTTCTCGATGCCCTACAACGTCACCATCTTGACATGTACGGTAATGTCGCTCGCATTTGGCTGTGTTTTCAATTTACTTGCTAAGAAAGTGGTTACTGAGGAGGAGTTTGAAGAAATCGCCAAATCTACTCCATTGGGTAAGTTGAAAGCCAAGCTTGCATACCTCAAGAGCAAGTTGAAGGGCACAAAGGCGTAAATTTTGCAACCGCGGCGCGAGCTTCCTGCTTCACCCGAACACCCCGAATGGCAAGCGAGTGCGAGGCCATCACCGGCGAGTTAGGTCTTCCAACAACCTAATCTGCTTTTGAAGTTTGTTACTAGATCAGTGTTTGGTGCCCGAAGACCCCTTCAATCTGGCGCTCCGCATTTCCGAGGCTGTCGCTCTCACATGCCGTATACGTATGTCCGGACCCGGACGAGGGACAGATTTTGCAAAACATGTAAATATCACAGATCTTGTCCCCCTAGCAATCCAGAGCCTGGATGTTTGAGGATAGCATCAACCGTGACGAGAACCTCATAGTTCTGGCTCAGGGTCAGGCTACCCTGTCCATTCCCTTTGCTGCCCCAGAGTTCGTTCGAGATGCCATTGAGAACTACTTTTCCAAAGACTCAGACACCATCCGCTACAATTACAGCCGGCTCAACGGCATGGTGCCTGAAAAGACAAGCACATTTTCATGGGACTACCCCAAAAAATCCACAAACCTAGATACAGACTTCCATCATTACAACTTCGATGTGGACATCTTGACCCGGTGGTTCTCTCGAGACGTGCTACGCATGTTTGTGCCTATTATTTACTTCCAAGACTGCCGCAAAGAGCGGATGGAGAAACGTGCTGCTGCACTTACTGCCAAACCGGTGCCCACATTAGCCGAGCTAGATGTATGTGCCAAACTACGAGGCAAGGGCTACTGGAACCGTAAAGGAGAATGGTTCTGCACTACTCGAGATGTTGCCCACAAAGGCGATCAGCATGGAGCGAAGTTCTTCAGCACTTACAACGAGTGGGCTCGGTGGGACGCCAAACTAGACGAAGCCATTCGTGAGGCCAAGTGGAGCGGCGATAGCGACACTCTGAAGCAGCTTCGGCTCGCACGAAACGGCTCATAGAAGCATATGTACGATGGAATGAATATTTATTTGGGAGCCCCCTGGGGTGATGCTCGATTGCGGAGCTTTCTAGGTGTGGAAAATGACTAAGAATGGCTCATAGTCAGGTCTCAAAGAGATCAGTCTATAATTAGATCCACCGTTTGGTAGCAAGACTCAGATGGAAAATGACTAAGAGTGGCTCATACTTCGGTCTCGAACAGATCAGTCTATAATTAGATCTAAATGTTGATATCAAGTGCGCTAGGGTTATGAAGATGCTAATTCCGACGGTTCCTGGACACACCAGAACATGAAACCATGCATTGCATCAAGTCAGAAAAGCTCAATTGGCATGTTGGCCTATCATTTACGCAACATTTCAACACTCCGACTGAAAAATCCAAATACGGGTCTGGGTGCTACCCCGCTGTTTGACGTTGGATTGTTCAGCTCATCCTGATTGTCTCACAATGGACCATCAGAATGAAGAAGTAAACAATGCCAGCTCATCGAGGGCATCTCAGGGAAGCTTTTAGAAATACGTCAAACGAAATTTTTCAGGAGGACACTGAAATTTCACATATCGCAACACCCAGCCCTCGCTTATTCGATACCGATGAGTGCAACGAAACTAGTACACAACTACAACATACAATACAGCAAAACCTCCAATCCACATTTCTAATGCAAACCGCCTATACTCCACATTTCCCTTCGTTCTTTTTTTAGATCCACAGTTCCACTTTTTTTCAACCACTAACATTCACTTTCTTGGCCCCGTGGGACCTGGGGTGCAGGCGACCAAGAAACTGTCCAATTCCGTTCACCCTGGAGAAAAACGCCCTAAAGGCAACTTCAAAACCTTCAATTCCTACTTTCAAAACCCAAAATCACTAATTCACCAAATCACCAAAACAAGCCTTTCAGTGACAATACGGAGTCACGAGACTGGCCTGTGGGGCAGCGGCATCAGTCCACAAGCCTCGTCAGCCAAGTCCAGCCACTTGATTGCCGAGACGGAGGGATTTCGATAAACCACCGAGAAAGAAGCCGAAAAAGCAGGACTTCCTCAAAAATGTCGAAATTTCCTCCTTTTATATTCGTCCCTGGTACCTCATCGAGAGACTGCCCCGCCTTGAATGGCTGCGAAAGTGTCAAACTGCGGTCCCGTAGCCAAGCCTCCAGCACCGGCGATTCCACTAACAACACAGCGTAAATCCACAAACAGTAGTACCAAATTTCCAAAAACGTCAAAAAACCTTATTTCTCCCGCAAAATCGCCTTGTTGACACATCCCACTTTTGTGTCACTTCGCTATCGCTCCGGCGCGTCAATGTGGCAGCAAGACCCTGGCTGCGAAACAAGGGTACCCCGGTGATTCCACACACCTCCTTCGAAACCGCCAAAACTATAAATACGGCCGTTTTCCTCTTTTCCCCAGCTTCCCAAAAATGCCCCTTTGGCCCCAGCCCAACGCCGCCTCGCCAAAATAGCCCCACCCTCCGCCTCCACATCACTCGCCCACCTGCACAGCCCTATCATACAAAAGTCCAACTACTCCAACTTTCACACTTTTCCCACCATCCATGCCTGAGGAGAGCACCCCACACACACGGCGCAAAAGAGGCCTTTCCTTGCGCCTGCAGCTCCTCAACAAGGCCGTGGCCGCCCTGGTCAACCCGTTCTGGGACTCCAGGCAGAGTCAGATCGAGCTTGAAAACTTGGACCTGGCTTCAACTTCTGAGCCTATTGGCCAGAACGTGGGCACGCTGGAAACGTCGTCGGCTCCTCACGGCGACTTGCTTGCCCCTCCGGCCATCAGCGTCGAGCCGCCCCGAGAATACCCCAAGTACTCCCAGAAAATGCTGCGTCTGACCACGAGACTCACCACGATTCTGAGCGCCAACTCGCTGGACGAAGAGGAACGAGATCTGCGTTTTGCCCGCCAAAAACGGTTTCGTAATTCCTGGCGTGGCACTTTCTGGAAGTACCGCAACAGGCTTTTGGGCCGTTCCCAGCTAGGAGCCTCGGACTCAGGCCGAATCATCCCACTCTGTCTCCGCAAGGAAAAGGCAAACTCCATCTTCAGCGACGAGTACTACTCCTCCACGCACAAGGCATACGTTGACGAGCGCTCGGGCGAGCCCTACGTCAGCAACACCATCACCTCATCCAAATACAACATCTACACGTTCCTTCCCAAACAGCTCCGGGCACAGTTCTCCAAGCTCGCCAACTGCTACTTCATGGTCGTCGCCATCATGCAGATGATCCCCTCCTGGTCCACCACGGGCCAGTTCACCACCATCATTCCGCTCATGATCTTCATGTCCATCTCGATCGCAAGAGAGGGCTTTGACGACTGGAAACGTCACACTCACGATAAGGAGGAGAACTCCAAGGTGGCCCATGTTGTCTGTGAAGACGCCGATTTGGCCTCCTTTGATGCTCAGTCCATTCACACCATCATGACCGAGACCATACCGGTGTACCCTGAAGAGCCCACCAATACGTCTTCCACGTCCCTTTCCGATTCCAAAAATATCTTCTCCAATAGCGTCTCCATGACCCGCTACAACTTGCGCCTGAACAGGACTGCCTGGAAAGACATCAAGGTTGGTGATGTTCTTCAGATCAACGAAAACGACTGGATCCCCGCAGACGTTCTTCTTTTGGCTGTCGACAGCGACGAGACAGAGGCGTTTGTGGAAACCATGGCTCTCGACGGTGAAACCAACTTCAAGTCGAAATTCGCCCATCCAGAGCTCCTGAAACTCACACAGAGACCCAGCGACCTCAAGAACGTACGCTGTCTTGTCACCACCGAAGACCCCAACCCCGACTTGTACAATTTCGAAGGCCACTTCTCCTCCAATGGCTATAAATACGCTCTTGGTCTCGACAATGTCGTATACAGAGGCAGCATTTTGCGTAATACCCGGTCGGTTTTGGGTCTCGTGGTGTTCACAGGTGAAGAGTCCAAGATCCGTATGAACAACTTGAAGAACCCCAGAACAAAGGCCCCCAAGCTTCAGCGCAATATCAACTTCATCGTGTTGTTTATGATTTTCGTTGTCATCATGCTTTCCGCCTTCTCCACTATGGCCCAGCGTCTATATCTTCAGAACGATCTCCACAAAGCCTGGTACCTCTTCGATCAAGATGTGGGCGTGGCCGCTACACTCATGGGTTTCATCATCATGTACAATACGTTAATCCCTCTTTCACTTTACGTCACGATGGAAATCATCAAAGTCATGCAGCTCCTTTTCCTACAATACGACATCGACATGTATGATCCCAAATCAAACACTCCAGCTGATGCAAAGACTGCTACTATTCTAGAAGAGTTGGGCCAGGTGTCCTACGTCTTCTCAGACAAAACAGGAACCCTCACAGATAACGAGATGCTTCTACGTAAGTTCAGTGTTTGTGGTGCTAATTGGATTCATGATACAGACCAGCTAGCACAAGAGAAAGAAGATCCAGAGTTCGGTGATCATCATATGGCCAAAGTGGACGCAATTCGTCCTCTGCAACACAACAAAGCACCTGTTCCAGGCAGAAAAAGCACCACTTCCCTCGTTAGACAGAGTATGGAGATGTCTTCCATTCGGTCTTCCACCACATGGAGGTCAACGGCACAGCCTGAAAAGGAGCAGAATTTGGCCAGCTCATTATACTTGTTGAAGTACATTCAGACTCATCCTGAGACGATTTTTTCTAGGAAGGCAACATTCTTTCTTTTGAGCATTGCTCTTTGTCATACCTGCCAGCCTAGAAAGACCAAGACCGTCAATAACAGCTCTACATATACCCTTGCTGACAGCAGTGAAGAGGAACAATTGAATGATCTTGACGAAGACGCTAGCATCAACTACCAGGCAGCTTCCCCTGACGAATTGGCCTTAGCTGATGCTGCGAGAGATCTCGGTTTCGTCATTGCTGATAAGCAGAACGGTGTGATCACAGTGAAGACCTATCCACATGGCTTTGACGCTCCTGCAAGATCAGACCGCTATGAGATTCTTGACGTTGTTGAGTTCAACTCTGTGCGTAAGAGAATGTCTGTGGTCGTCAGGTTTCCTGACGGTAGAGTCGGTGTGATTTGTAAGGGTGCTGATAACGTCATCCTCGAGTTATTGAAGAACGCTGAGCTCGCAAAGAGGAAGGCGAGAGATATTTTCTTGTCATCTGCTGACAGGAAAACCCAAGAGGCCGAGATTGTCTTGCAAAATAAGGTCTCTGCCGAACTCGAAAACAGAAAGTCCTTGTCGTCATTGACAAGTGCAAGCATGGATGTTGCTGAGCGTATTGGTTCCATTGACAACATCGTTTCTCGTCAAGAGAGCGATATAAGTCAGATTGCAGCCAAAGCTAGGAAGTCTCTCCACATTCAGCAAAACAAACGTTACAGTATGGACGAGTACAATGATGCCGACCGAAGCCAAAGCTCTCATGCATTTATACCGAGAGACAAGTTGCTTGTGAACGAAGAGTTTGCAATAGAAAAAACGTTGGAGCATATTGAGGAGTTCTCCTCCGAGGGGTTGCGTACTCTTCTATACTCATTCAAATGGCTCAACAATGCAGAATACGAACTGTGGGCAAGTGAATATCGTGAAGCTAAGATTGCATTAACTGACCGTGCAAAGAAGGTGGAAGAAGTGGGTGCAAAGATCGAAAACAATTTCGAACTTCTTGGTGCTACAGCTATCGAGGACAAATTACAGGATGGTGTAAGTGAAGCCATTGATAAGTTGCGCCGTGCTGGTATCAAGATGTGGATGCTTACTGGTGACAAAAGAGAAACCGCCATCAACATCGGATACTCTTGCCGTCTTATCAAAGACTATTCCACTGTTGTTGTATTGTCGAGTGATGAGGGCACTGAGAGACTCACGCAGCGTATTAGTACTGCCAGTCTGGAAATCAAAGCGGGCAGAATCGCCCATTCAGTGGTGGTTGTTGATGGAGGTACGTTGGGTGAAATTGAAAGCGATCCAACGTTGTTTTCT